TTGTTTTGTTTTTTGTCCTGCTACCACTAAGCCATGTCATCCTTGCCCTTTCCGCTGAGCGCGCCATGAAGACAGCCTGACGTTCACATTTGTCCACTGCCCTGCGGACATCTTCTGGCTTCTGGAGTCCACTGGCCAAAGTTGTTATTGTGTTGTTGTTTGTTTGTTTTGCTAACTTTTCCAGCTTCATTTGATCTGCAAACGAGATCACCCTCATCCAACATCAACCAGCTCCTTCATAAATTCTCCTATGGCAATTTGAATCTTGCATCAGAACATTCGATGTTGAAACCCTCTCGCCGATGATGTACATCTTCCCGATTAGTTTCCCATGGTTGCTCTTAGTAAAGTACCACACATCTGGCTACAGATGACAGAAATGGATCCAGAAATGGATCCTCTCACAGTTCAGGAAGCCAGAAGCCTGACATCAAGATGTCTGTAGGGATGCACTCCCCGCAGAGGCCCTCACAAAGTCTGTCCCTTGCCCCCCCAACCACGTGTCATGGCGACCCAAGTTCCTTGGCATTCCTGGATTTGCAGCCACAACATTTGCTCTCAGCCTCTGTCTTCCCTTCTGGGCGGCTCTGTCTCCTCTCCCTCTGCCTTGCTTTTACGAGGACACTTGTCCATGGTGTTTAGAGCCCACCGGGATAATCCAGGATAAGCACCTCCTCTCAAGACCCTTAATTTAATGGCATCTTTGGTCATATCAGCTAATAGTCATAGTTTCCGGGGATTAGCATGTGGACGTATCTTTTCAGGGGCCACCATTAAGCCCACTACACCCTTCCCCCGCTGACCTGTATGTATAGTTGCAGTTTTCTGCCCCCAGGGGACATTTGGTAATGTCTGGAGACATTTTGATCATTACAGCGGAGCGGTTGGAGTACAGGTAGTGTCTTGTTCACAGAGACCAGGGATGCCGCTAGCTACGCCCCGATGCACAGGGCAGCCTACAAACACAACAAAGAAGCATCTGGTCCAAAGTGTCACTAGTGTCAAGGTTGAGAAAGTCTGATCTATAATAAATTATGATTATATTATACCTTATCTAAGAAGCCTCCACTGGGGATGCCTGGGTGGCTCAGTCGGTTAAGCGTCTGCCTTCGGCTCAGGGTCATGATCCCAGGGTCCTGGGATCGAGTCCCACATCGGGCTTTTTGCTCAGCAGGGAGCCTGCTTCTTCTCCCTCTCCCTCAGCACCGCCGCCCGCACTTGCTCACACAGTCTCTCTCTCTGATAAATAAATAAATAAAATCTTAAATAAATAAATAAAATCTTATTTTAAAAAATAAATAAAAGTGAAAAGCCTCCACTGTCATCTCCATGTCTCATTCCAACTTTATTTTTCATTATAGCCTTTATTATATGTGACATTAAATATACCTCCTGATCTGTTTTATTCCCCTTCCTTCTTTTGTTCCTTGTCTATGACCCCAAACACTGGAACATCACCTCCACGAGGGCAGAGGTTTGTGTCCATTTTGTTCACTGTTGTATCCTCAGCCCCTTGAACAGCACCCAGCATATAGTAAGCAATCTCTAAACATTTGTTTTATTTGTTTGTTAGTTAATTAGGGTGCAGACATTTCCTGAGCTCTTATGATATGCCAGCCACCGGGCTGGGTTATCTCATTTTGATACAAAAAAACCTGTAAGTAGTGTAAGTATTTTTCATTCTCCACTTTTCAGATAAAGAAACAGTAAAGGTTAAGGAACTCGATGAAGATCACACAGCTCTTGAGAGGGCCAGTGGTAAAGCTAGACAAGTCTCTTCAACAAATGCTGCTAGAACAACTGAACATCCACGTGCAAGAAAATGAATCTAGACACAGACTTTATGCACTTCACAAAACTTAACTCAAAATGGATCATGGACTTAACTATAAAAGCACAAAACTATGAAACTCCTAGAAGATAACAGGAGAAAACCTACACACCCTTGAGTATGGTGATGACTTTTTAGATACAACACGAGCTATGAAATAAATAATTGACCAGCTGGATTTCATTAAATTAACAACTTCCACTCTGGGAAAGACAACATCAAGAGAATGAGAGGATAAGCCACTGACAGGTAGAAAATATTTGCAAAAGACACATCTGATACAGGGCTGTTACCCAAAATATACAAAGAACTCTTATAACTCAACAATAAGAAAACAAACAACCTCATTAAAAGATGGGCCAAGACCTTCACAGACACCTCACTGAAGAAGATAAACAGATTAGAAATGAGCATATGGAAAGGTGCTCTGCATCCTACATCATCAGGGAAGAGCAAATCAAAACAACAATAAGATACCACTCCACGCCTCTTAAAATGGCCAAAATCCAGAGCACCCACAATGCCAAAGGCCAGCAAGAATATGGAGCAACCCAAACTCATTCCTTCATTGCCGGGGAGAATGCAAAATGGTACAGCCACTTTGGAAGACAGTTTGGCGGTTTTGTACAGAACAAAATATACTCTTACTATATGACCCAGCAATCCTGCTCTTTGGTATTTCCCCAAAGGAGTTGGAAGATTACGTTCACACAAAAACCTGCACAAGGAAGATGCTAGCAGCTTTATTTGTAATTGCCAAAACTTGGAAGCGTACAAGATGCTCTTCAGTAGGTGAATGGATCCATTTTGGTCCATCCAGACAATTACTCAAAAGAAATGAGGTTTGGAGCCATGGAAAGACATGGAGGAATCTTAAATGCATATTACTAAATGAAAGAAGCCAAGCTGTAAAGGCAACCCACTGCACCATTCCAGCTATATCACATTCTGGAAAAGGCAAAAATGGAGACAGTAAATTCAGTGGTTGCCAGGGGTTGGGAGTGGTGGGGGGTAGGGAGCATGCACATAAGTAAGTGGAGCACAGAGGATGTTTAAGGCAGTGAAAATGCTCTACATGATATTATAATGGTGGGTACGTGTCGTCATACAGTTGTCCATAGGATGTACAACATCAAGAGTGAACCCTAAGGTGAACTGTAGACTTCGGGTGATTATCATGTGTCAGTGTCAGTTCATCTTTGGTAAACAATGTACCATTCTGGCGAGTGATGTTAATAATGGGGAAGGCTGTGCATGTGTGGGGCACGGGGTATATGACAATCTCTGTACCTCCCTCTCAATTTGGTTGTAAACCTAAAACTGCTCTAAAAAACATTAATTCTCTTTTTTTAAGATTTTATTTATTTATTTGAGGAAGAGCGAGAATAAGAGCGATCACAGAGGGAGAGAGAGGAGCAGATTCGCCACTGAGCAGAGAGCCAGATGGGGGACTCCATCCCAGGACCCCAGGATCATAACCTGAGCCAGAGGCAGACGCTTAACTGACTGAGCCACCCAGGCGCCCCTAAAAAAATATTAATTCTTAAAAAAAAAAAAAAAAGACAAGGTCCTTGACCCAGTGGAACTTCTATTCTGTTGGGGAAGACAATAAACCAGTAACTGGATGAGTATTACACGCTCTGAAGACACGAACACAAGACAGAGTGACAGATGGAGGGAATCCAGTAGGCAACTACTTAGGACCACCAGGAAGGTCTCCATGAAGAGGAGACATTTCAGCTGAAATCTGGATAAAGAGAAGAGAGCAGCCATGCAGAGCTCAGGAGGAAGAGCAAGTTCTGACAGAGAGCAGAGCTCAGCAGTCAGGGGAACAGAAAGAAGGTCCCTGGGGCTGGACTTGAGTGGCTATGGGGCTCTGGTGAGGTTGGAGGAGGGCAGGGGTCAGAGGCGTGCTGCAGGGCTCTGCGGAGGGAGTGCTGAGCCTGGTTTGGATGAAGTCTGAGGTCCCTCTGCTCCCAATCTTGACTCACTTGTGGGCCCTCTATGGTGCCACATGCTTCCTGAAGGGGACCCCGCTTCCTTCCTCCCAATAGCAGTTACACAATCTGAATTGCATTCTGAGAGCTTCCCCTGTCACTCAGGAGCCCCAGCGGTGGTTCACCCCCAGTTGAGTTATCATGAGCAGTCATCCCCACCCTCCCTTCCTACAGGTCCTCTGGGCCTCAGCCACCGCATCTGTAAAGTGCCCAGGGACCGGGAGGGGGTAACCAAAAGATGCAAATGGCATTTCCAGTTCTGTCCCTGTCGCTTTGGATTGTGATTGGAAGAGGATGCAGCCCAAGTGGAATCTAGGGAAGAAGTGAAAGCAAAAGATGGAAACTATTACTCCAGGCTCCAGAGGTGGGGGGAGGAAGAGTAGGCAGGGAGGGAAGTTTTTAGAAAACTGAGCAGGCAGAGACCCTGCGACCCAGGCTTTCATTTCTCCTAAACTCCCCAGAGCACCATGTGACGCAGCCGTGCCACAGAAAGGGGAAGCGAAGAGAACCCAGAATTTCTCAAGAAGCAGAAAGCAGGACCGAGGGCGAGCGGGACGGGAGAGCCACAGGGGCCCGGGGAGGAGGGGAGGAGGGAAGGCAGGGGAGGCCGTGGGGGG